CAATGGAGTATTACTCAGCCACAAGGAATAATGACCTAGGGTTTGAAGGTAAATGGATACAACTGGAGGACATGATGTTAAGTGAAGTTAGCCAGGATCAGAAACACAAAAGAAAGGAATGTGACACAGGTTACTCCAGAGGCACCTGGACACCCATGTTTATTGCAGCACTATTCACAATAGCCAAGTTAGGGAAACAGCCAAGATGCCCCACCATTGACAAATGGATTAAGAAAATGTGGTATTTATACACAATGGAATTCTACTCAGCCATGAAGAAGAATGAGATTTTGTCATTTTCAAGTAAATGGATAGAACTGGAGAACATCATCCTGAGCGAGGTTAGCCAGGCCCAGAAGACCAAAAATTGTATGTTCTCCTTCATATGCAGACTTTAGATCAAGGGCAAACACAGCAAGGGGATTGGACTTTGGTCACATGATAAGGTGAGAGCACACAAGGGATATATAAGGATAGGTAAGAAACCCAAAAAAACATGATAACATTTGATGTACTCAATGCAAAGGAACTAATGCATAAACTTTAAAGCAATAGAGACCAATAGGAGAAGGAGACCAGGAACTAGAGAAAAGATTAGTTCAAGAAGAATCAACTTAGAATGTAACACATTTGTACATGGAAACAATGCTAGGAATCTCCCTGTACAGCTCTCCTTATCTCAACTAGCAAAAACCCTTGTTCCTTCCTATTATTGCCTATACTCTCTCTTCAACAAAATTAGAGATAAGGGCAAAATAGTTTCTGCCTGGTAGTGAGAGGATAGGAGGGAGAGGAAGGGGTTGAGGGGAAGGAGGGAGAAATGACCCAAATATTGTATGCACATATGAATAAAAGAAATTTTAAAAAAGAAACACAAAAGACACATGTTTTCTCTCATATGTGGAAGACAGATCCAAAGATAAACACATATGCAAAACAAACATGTTCATATACAAACTCAGCTGTAGAACACGTTTGTAACAGGGGAACTGCTCTATGGAACTCGGGGAAAAAGGGAAAGGAAAAGAGAAGTGATAGAGAATCAGCAATATCACACACCACAAGACGTGAAGGTAGAGGATATGAGGATGTATACTGACAGATGTTGAAAAACAGGAGGTGGGACATAAAGGGGTAAGGGAGAGTATTCTAAGGGAATGAACAGACCAAAGTAAAGCACACCCACAGAGGGCATACATTGAGACACCCCTGTGAATGTCAACTCAATATTAATTATGAAAACCAGGACTGTAAAAATAGGTACAGCGTGTGTGGGCAGGTACTAGTGGGAAGGGGGAGGGTGAAGGAAGGAGATTAAGGTGACAGTATATGGTACATGGACTTCATATACCTATATGAAACAGAACTAAAAAACCTGTTGCAATTGCTTTAAGTGGGGTGGGGAGGAGGCTGAGGGGGAGAGACAATGGGGGCAATGTAAATAATGTACAATATAAGTCTAATCAAATTGTCACTATGAACCCCCCCCAAATAACTATGCTGTAAATAAGATAATTATTTACTAACCAGAATACAAATGAAATAAAAATTATAGTAGCATTCATGGTAATGTACACTTTATTCTACTTCATAGCACAAAACAAAGAATTCCCTCTCAAAGTATATTCCTTAATACTGACAGTCTGAAGTAACTAATAATTTGATTAATTAAAAGCAAAAACTGTCTAAATCCTAATAAAACTAAATGCTATAATTTATGTGAGATTGGTTAAATAAGCTTTGCTTGCCTTGGAGGAAAATGTAAGTGTTACAAAATTAGAATTTTTATCTCTTTTGTTTTCTACTGCATAATTTCCTTGGTTTTAATCCAAATACTCTTAAGCTGTTATTTTAAAAAAGTAAATAGAATGGAGGACTTACTAAATGTCATCTCTCTGGCTATTTCAGGCTCTGAAATCAAATCATTCTTAAAATCAAATCATTTCTGCCTGATTGATTCACAAATATTTAACTGCAAGTCTGCCAGGTGCACATAGCTTTTCATGGTGCACTTGAGAATTTGTTCCTACTTCGTCTGTAGAAGACTTCTCACACAGCTGCTGACTCCTAATATCAGTTGAGATTACCCACACATCCTGCTATCTGTTCCCATATCTGTAATCTGTGGCCTGACATTGTCTTCCTGCTGTCCAAAAGAACTTTGATCCCACCCTGAATTCTTTGGTCTGTTGCTGTTCAGAAGTACTTGTTCCATCTGTAGACAAGAGACTATCCAACCCACCTGCTTGCTTTAAATAGGATCACCCTAATTCTGATAAGGGAGCACAGCTATTGAAGTGCTACATTTTAGCTAAAATGATTGCCAATATATAAATTTCTGTATTAATGAAATGGTGCTATACAACTTATATTAGTAATCTGTTTCAGGGAACAAGAGGGCTTATATAATAATGCATGCTATCATTATTCCAATGACATTTCCCATAGAATAGGAAAAAAATCAGACATATAAGACTTTGGGGAAAAAAGAGAGAGTCCAGAAATAAATCCATGTGTTTATGATCAATTGATATTTAATAAAGTTGTTAAGAGCAGCTAATTGGGAAAGGACAGTCTCTTCAGTAAATGGTACTGAGAAAATTGGATACCCAAATGCATAAGAAAGAAATTAGACCCTTATCTCATACCATATAAAAAACAGCTCACAATGAATTAAACATGAAACTGTAAAACTACTAGAGTAAAAAATACACGAGAAGCTCCTTGATGTTGGTCTGGGCAGTGATCTTTTTTTATATGAACCCAAATGCACAGGCAACAAAAGGAAAATACTCAAGTAGGATTACATTAAACTAAAAAGTTTCTGTACAGCTAAGGAAACAATCACTAAGGTGAACAAATGGTATGTGAAATAGGACAAAATATTTGTGAACAATACATCTGATAAGGACTTAATAGCCCAAATACACAAGGAACATAAACAACTCAAGAGTAAAAGAAATCAAATAACCTGATTAAAAACAGGCAAAGGATCTAAATAGGGATTTCTCAAAAGAAGACAAATCGTCAACAAATATGTGATAAAATGCTCAACATAATTAATTAAAGAGAAACACAAATCAAGACCATAATGGGATATTGCCTCATAGGTGTTGGAATTTTTATGCAAAAGACAAAAGATAAGTGTTGGAAAGGATGTAGAGAAAAGGCAATCCATGCAAAGTATTGTTTTGGAATGTACATTAGTACAGCCATAGTGAAAGCAGTATGGAGCATCCTCAAAAAGTTAAAAATAGGAACTTCCATATGGTAAAGCTATCCTTCTACTGAGCATATGCCCAAGGGATATGAAATCAGTACATTAAAGACATAGCTGCACTCACATGTTTATTGCAGCATGCTTTATAGTATCCATGATATGGACTGAACTTGTGTCCATCAAAAGATGAATAAAGAAAATGTGATACACATGTATGCACTGATACACAATGGAATAATATTCAGCCTTTAGAAAGAAGGACATTCTATCATTTGCAACAACATGGATGAACATGGAGGACACGGTGACAAGTGAAATAAGCCAGGCAAATAAAGACAAATACCACACCGTGATCTTACTGATGTGCAGTGTCTAAAAAACTGAACTCATAGAAGTGAAGATTATAATAGTAGTTACCGGGGGCTGAGGTGGGGTTTGGAGAAATGTTGATCAAATGATACAAAATTCCAATTAGACAGTAGGAATACATTCAGGATATCTATTATACAACGTGATAAAAGTAACAATGTATTGTACTCTTAAAAACTGCTAATAAAGTTGATAATTGTTTTCCTACAAAAAAAACAAGTATGATATAACTTGTTTTATATCAAGTACGTTATATAACATACTTGTTTTATAACAAGTATGATATAACTTGATATATGAGATAACATATATTAATTAGTTTTATCTAACCATTCCACAATGTATATATATTTCAAAGCACATACTATATGATACAAGTAATTTTTATTAATCAATTAAAATAAATTAAAATTAAACTAATAAATAATATGTCAATCTAAAAAATTAACTATATAAGCAAAATGTGCACTCTTTTTCTAGACGGCTGATTATTTTCAAATGAGAGGGAAAAAATAGAAGGGATGAACCAATTCAGGTTATAATACATATGTACATGGAAATGTCACAATAAAACTCCCTGTATAGCTAACATATATAAACTAAAATGGATTTTTCTCAAAAATGGAGAACAGGAAGGTAAAACAGGTCCTATCTGGGGGGTTGGTACCAGTAGGAGGGGGAGGACATAAGGAAAGGAAATAGGGAGGTGAATATGGTGGAATATCATGTACTCATGTATGAAAATGTGATCTGTTGAAACTATTCCAGGAATTGGGGGATGGGGAATAAAGCAGAAAGATGAACAGGGTGAATTAACTATAATATATTGTAAGAACGTTGGTAAACAATTAAAAAAAGATTTTAAAATGTGAAAAGACTCAAAAAAGACCAAAAATCGTATGTTCTCCCTCACAGGCAGACTTTAGATCTAGGGCAAATGCAGCAATGTTGTAGGACTTGGGTCACATGCTAAGGGGAGAGCACATACAGGAGATATAGGAATAGGTAGAAAACCCAAAACATGAAAGCGTTTGATGTCCCCACTCCAGAGGAGCTAATACACCTTAAAGCAATAGAGGTTAATATGAGAAGGGGAGCAGGAACTAGTGTAAAGATCAGTTAGAGATGAATCAACATGGGTTGTAACACATGTGTACACGAAAGCAATGTTAGGAATCTCTCTGTATAGCTACCCTTAACACAACTACCAAAAACGCTTTGTCTTCCTTATTATGCTTATGTCTTCTCTTCAACAAAATTAGAGATAAGGGCAGAGCAGGTTCTGCCCCGAAGTGAGAGGGGAAGGGGAGAGAGGGTGGGGGAGAGGGGCAGGGGGGAGAAATGACCCAAACAATGTATGCACATGTGAATAAATGAATAATTTAGGTAAATAAATAAAAACAAGACTTACCAAAATTTTAACTGGCTTGACTACTTTTCTAGTAATGACACCAGGGGCTCTTAAACGAATAGCTTCCAAAATACACCATTTAATTAGAAGGAGTCTCTTCAGTTCATCCTCAGACACTTTAATTTTGTCTTTACCTGTAATGAGAATATTTTTCATTTTATTAGCATATATTCATGTATGGGGGGTTGTTCATTGTGCCAATTCTGAATAGCCTCACATTGTACATTAGTTACATCACCCCCTCCCTGTCATCCCCATAATCCCCTCCCCACTTCACTAAAAGCCATTGGAAGAGGTTTCATCATTCTATTTCATATAAGTATATGAAGCCCATTAACCATATTCCCTCACCTTCATCTCCTCCATTCACCCTCACACACAAGTACCACCCCAACACACTGTACCTATTTTACAGTCCTGTCTTTCTGTTTCAATTCCAAAGTCAATTCCAAAGAGAATTTTTAATGAAGAAAGAAAAGATGGACAAATGAAGCCAGAAAGTGATTTCACATAGTTTGTCATCAGAGGTAAAATGCTGTTGCCTCTGGAACAAGGAAAGTGCAGCTGTTATTACTACTTTTTGCTTCTTGTCTGTAATGTGGTGGACTGGTACCCAACTTCAAGTATCTTACTCTAGAGTTGACTTCAATAAGTACCTATTGAATGATCAAATAGCCCCACTCCAATGTAGGGAGATGAGCCAGTGGATACTCTAGGTAAAGGAAAGAGGAAGAACAAAATGAAGGTTGCAGAAAGCATGGGTATGTTCAGAAAATGGAAATGAGTCTAGTTTGCCTAGAAAATGGGATATAAATGTTGGGAGTGAGAGCCACTAAGTGCCTACTATAGATGGGTCTTGTGCCATTATGGTGGATTTGGAGACTTCCTGCCTTGGGCTGAAGGTGGGTGAATGAACATCTCAATACTGAAAATGCAGTGATAGAGCACTCCATTCAATCATCTCAGACCTAAACGACCTAATACTAAAGGAGACAAACACCTTTTTTTGATCTTTTTGGTTTAACCTTCATAGCCATTGCCCCACAAAAGCTTGCTTTTGCTTTTCAATAATAAGGATTGGAAAATAGCAGGCATGCTTTTGGCATCTTCATGAGCTAAAACTACAGTTTACTCAAACTGCATTGTATAAAGGTGTTTGCTAGATGCCAAAGGCCTGACAGTGGACAAAGGTATGGACAGTCAAATACGGGAAATGTAATGTGCAGTTGGTGATTCACTGGACACAATAACACATTACAGGTTTTGAGAAACTGCAATGAAGACAGCAGCTTCTGCCAATATTTCCAAACTTTTTTAAAGCATGGTATCTGTCTTCTCCTGTTTTCTGTATTAATAAATCATTAACTGTTTAACCAGGATATATAATAGCAATGCAATGACTATGAATTCTTTCAAAGGCAATTCTCCACAAAAGCAAACCCTGGTTGGAATTTGTCTAAGCATGACCAGCAGATTACCATGTGTCTTTTCATGCATGTGGCCTAATTTACAAATAGCTATTAAGAACAAAAAAAGAATTATTATCAACAGAAAACCATCTTGATATGCCATGGAAAGATAGTGGTACTGTAAATATTACTCTATACTTTTCCTGAACTATCCCTATATTTTCTAAGCTAATTCAGAAAAATAATTTAGAGAAGTCATGACTAGAATTAGAAATTCTTTACTGAAGTGACTGCATATGAAACACATATCATTACTGAATCAAGTGGACAAATATTTATTTGGCATTTAGTGGAGAACAAAATACTAAGCATTTCAGGAGATGCAGGAAATTTAAATGTTAGGATATCTTTACCTCAAAAACCTGTATATTCTAAAATGAAAAAAAGGATAAGTACTTTATGCAGACAGTATTAAAGTAAGAAATTGAGAGAATCTAATTTTTGGATTCATTTATGAATGACACACAAAGTTAGAGCATTGCCTAGCAGGTGACAAGTGCTTGATACATGGTATTATTTATGTATTTATTATTGTTCATCATTATTAATGTGAATTTAATGATTCCATAGAAACCATACCTTCCTAATCTACTTTTACTCCATAGATAGTAAAGATATTTTTCCTGAAATTTTTAGTGGGAGAAAAATCTACAGATTGAAGTAGCATATCAACAGTAACTGGATACCATGTCTGAGAAATTCTTCCAGTTCCTCTGCTATGGTTTGGATATGGTTTGCACCCAATGGTTCACATACTGGAAACTTGGTCCCTAATGTAATGTGTTGAAATGTGGTAGTACCTTTACAAGCAGGGACCGAGAAGTAGGTGATTAGGTGAAGATCCCCCCTGTGATGGGATTAATGTTCACCTTGCATGGCCTCCAGGGCCTGCCTCCTGGCTGTGTGCATTGGCTGCTAAGTGGGTCAGAGGGTCCCCCTGCCCAGAAGTGAAAAACCTCACATGATTTCCACAGTCCTCCCTGCTCCTCTCCAGAGTCTGAAAACATTGAGACTCACCTCCAGGAATTGCACCCAGGTGTGTGTTTGGAGTCAGGCAGGACTGAGGGTCACGAGTCCAGATCCATTGACTCATGAGACTTCCAAAGCCTCCTCCTCCCCACAGGGAGATGAACTGCTGGGGTCTGTAAACACTGAGAACAGCAGGCAGAGCGACTAGTCCCCTCAGCTCTCCCCAAGCCAGTGCAGAACACTGCTCTGTTTGCTTCCCCTGCTCTCTGATGCACCCAGAGGTCACCTTGAGGTCTGGACTTTTGCTGTCCCTGGGTATACAAACTTAGGGGGGAATTGAGGAGTAAATGGGAATCTGCCTGGCCCACAGACTGGAAAGCTCCCTGCAGCCAGAAATACAAGAAGACAGGGAACTTCTATAGTGAAAGCAACCAAGAAGCAGGAAACTGAACCTTCTGCAAGAGACTCCAGCTCATTTATCTGAGCAGTGTTTGGGATCAGGTGCAGTTCCCTGAACACATGGGATCTGAGCGGTGCTGGGAATCAAGTACAGTTCCCTGAACACATGACAAATGCTTCCCTATTGAGCCACATTCCCAGATGACTGCTGAAAAATACCTCAACGTGCCCACTAAACTGTCCTGCGTGAATATTGTCAGGCAGTGATCAAAACTTCCAACCAAAAGCTCGCTCCCTCTCACTCTTTAGGCCTCATCTAAGCCATCTTGTCCTCACAGAGCCCTTTCCTGACTATCCCAGATGTCTCTCTAATCTCTATCACACTATTTTATCTCTGTATAGTTCTTACTAACACAGACATTAATTAGATTAATTGTACTGCCTACCATTGGGCTTCGCCAAATAGGGCATCATTCCATTTGTTTCAGATTCTTGTTCCCTCTGTCCTTTTACAGATATCAAGTATCTAACACAATGCCTGGTATACAGGAAGCATTCTATATGTTTTTATTGAGTGGAGATAAATGAACAAATGAATGGATCAACGTCTAAAAAGTAGAAGGGAAGATCAATTAAGAAACTTGTATTTTATGTAAGGGTAATGGGAGAGACTTAGAAAGACATTTCTAAGAGAGAATATAAAAAATTTTTAAATGAAAAAGAATTGAGTAAAAAACTAGTATAGGCTAGACCAACATTAACCATGTATGACCTAAGAACTTATAGTTCTGGCAAGTTTCCTAGCAATGTTGGTATCGCTGATCCGGAGACATTCTTTAGGAAACGCAATACTGGAATAAATAGGAGATAGCCTTGGATTTTGTATATGAAATATTATAGGATTAAAGCCATTCTTATTGCCAATTTTGAAATTATCTCCTCTAGCCTAAAAAAAATTGAGGTAAGCATACTTAGTGGTTAAAAATTATAATTTAAATCTAAAATCCAAAGCAGAAATCCTGAATGCACATATTGACAATGACTCCCACTAGCTTTTACTAACATGACATATAAGAAAGAACATTTGTTTCTTATTATGACCATGAAACTAGTTAATGTGATGATTAACTCTGAACTTTTAATTGTCCAGGCTTTCAGAAAGGGGCAAAATTACATTATTTTTATAGCCACAGAGGTGTTATCTACATCTGAATAGGACCTGCAATGGGACTTGAGGAGGACACCAGAGAGTTACATGAAGCCATGCAGACACAGTGGCTGTATTCTGCTTCATTGTGTGAGATTGTAGGTAAGGATGTGTGTGGGCACACTGTGACAAGCAGGCCAAATCCAGCTCATAGTCTCATTTTGTAAATACTGGGTCATTTTTGATAAAAACAACACTCAACTTGTTGACATGTTGTTTATGACTGTTTTTGCATCACAATGGCAGAGTTAAGAAGCCACAGAGACCTTATGTTCCATAAAGCCTAAAATATTTACCATCTGGGCTTGTACACAAAAAGTTGGCTACTACGCAGGAGATATACAGGGAACAAGCTCTTGGTTTACTCCTTGTTACACCTCCAATTGCTCAAAAGTCCAGATATTATTACAACATTTTGAATTTTACAACATTTGAATTTTATACCTAACATAAATTCTGTGTGTCCCTCACTACTTACATCATTTATATAATTAAGTCAAGCATATGAACCTACCTTAGTACTGAATGAGCCTATAAATATGGTTATTTTACAAGGAAAATATAGACTACCTGTCAATGGAAGAAACATCTTTTCTTAGAATATGTAATGGCCTTCAAATTATGTTCACACATGGAGAGGGTGCACGGGAGCAGACAATGTTACTGGAATCAATTTCCTGATATCCAACTTCCACATTTACTCTTTTCTAAAACAGATTTAAGCAACACTGTAGTCTGATTCTCTCCCTCTCCCCGCATCGCCCATATGCAATTACCTTTTGCTCACTTTACAATAGAACATTTTGCTTCTCAGCCATCCTGATTTTTAATTTGCTATGTTTTCCCTGAGGTACAAACATCTCTTGGGTACGAAACAAAAGGGCAATTAGGTAACACAGGATACCCAAGGGAAAAGTCCTTGCAAAACAAGCACAGTAAAGAAATACTGTAAGCAGACTGCCTTATTTCATTTTTCTATCCATTGGCCTTGCTCACAAACCATTTATCTGTTTTCACCTATGTTAGAATTAGAGTTCAAAAGTGAGGCGCCTGCCACAGCAACACATACTAACTTGTTTACTTGAAGAAA